GCAGAGTGAAGCAAGTGTGTCGCAGCGGCCACATTAGCGCTTACCTCACCGCATCGCAATTACTTATTTAGAGGCCTGATGCCCCAGCGGAGGGAATGGTGTCTTATTCGTCTGTGTAACCAAGCCCGGCCCACACCCAAGCACATCCCAGACCCCTAATAACCGTTTTGGGAATGGATCCAGCTCTCTCATTTTGCTGATGAGGAGACTGTGTGCTGAACCACAGAGAACAGCCTGCAGGCAGCCCACAATTACAACCCCCCACTTCCTTCCCAGGGCTCTGTGCAGTGCAGGTCCACCCACCTGCCCACAACCCAAAGAAGGAAACCCCACGTGTTTACTGAGCACCTATTACACATTGTGTGCACTTGGCAAAGGGGCATCCTCCATAGCTCCAATATGAGATAAGAAGATTCACACTGTGTTGTGCAGGATCACAGGGGAGAGCCCTGCTGAGAGTTGTTTCCCACCTCCTGGTGTCCCAGCATTTTGTCCAATGATACAGAAAAAAAAATTTTCCTATGTGAAAAGGGAATTTATTCTTTGGCTAACTCTCCTTCCACAATTCAGAATCGAGGGTCTCAGTAAAGGCGACCCTTCCTGGGTGGAGGGAGGATTCCACAGAAGACAAGGAGGATGAGGAGGGGGAGGGGGAGTAACTCTTGGCTTCTGGAATAGTAGAACTGAGAGATGGGTTCCCAGTAGGCTTATCTATCTTTATCTAGTTTTAGAGTCCTCTCAACGGTCAAATGTACAAGAAGGAAAAAGCCCTGAGAAGTACAGAGAGCTTTGCTCTCTACCGCTCTGTCATCTATAGCCTGAGAGAAAGGCACCCTCTCACTGGATGAGGCAGAGTAAAATGAGCTTCGGGCTCAGGAATTCCCAAGGTAGAGCAGGGGTGGCACCCTTCTGGGGAGATCACACAACCCCCCCCCCTTTGCAGGGAGGAGCCACAAGGCAACTGAGGTCACAAAGAATCCAGGGCGTGAATGATAGAGCTCCCAGTAAAGAAAATTTCACAGCTCAACCCGGATGCCACACACTGCCCTAGGATCAGCGCCTGCACCCCCATCTCATTGCCACCAAGGTCTTTTCCAGAAAACCCTGTTGCCTGATGGCTCTCTGGCCACACAGCCCCTTAAGCTGCTTTGCCTGGAGGTCTTCAGCCCGTTTCAGCCCTGTGTAGATGGCCACCTTGTGGCTGGGGTACAACAGTCACAGGTTTTATGGCCATCACCTCATCTGTGAACCTGCCCTCTGTGTTATTACCAAACACGACGAATCATTAGTTGTGCAAATAGCTGGCGAATGGAGATGGGACTGTGGACACAGAGGGTTCAGCTGACGCGGTTATACAACCCCAAATGGGATACTTTGGACTTTGGTGGAGCCAAGTTTGCAGCCTGAACCTGGCTGTATAATAGCATGGAACAAGCGGAGGTAATTAAAGACACAGCGTGCTATGAGTTACCAAAAGAAGCTTGCTACAGAAGAGGTCAAGGGTATGGAGGAAAGCCTGCAATAGCAGCATTATCATCACCTATGGCTGCAGGAGTCTGGGCATACCAGCTCTAGTCCCTGGGCCCGTTTCCTCCTCCATGATTTGAAAGGTTTGGATAAGAAGTCAAAGGGCTCTTCTAGCTCTGGGGCTCTGGAACTTGCTTAGGTTACTGAAAACAGTGCCTGTCTAGTATTGGCATGATGCTGCCCCCAAATCAAACTGCCTCAAGTCAGCTTGCCAAACATCAGTGCTCACCAACAGAGGGTGAAAGGCCAGCCTGCCGGCTTCCCCCGGCACCATGTCTCAAAGTCATTGCATGACAGTCGCTCTGGAGTCTATTTCTAAGTTGGCTTTGTTATTTGCTGCTGACACGGGAAAGGGGCTGCAGGAACAAGACGGGAACTGATGAGACGGTCAGCCTTCATCGCCTCCCTGGCCCTCGCTGAATCATCCCTGACACCCTGCCTGGAAGCAGGAGCCTGGGGGAGGTGGTGACCTCTTCCAGTCCCGGGCCAGGTCTGTGATTCTGTAATCTTTGCTTTACCATAATTAGGGAGGGAGGCAAAAGAGTAGGAGGACCCATTTATTACTTCTCTGGGATCTGACAGCTTGAAAAAGAGAATGATGGGGGGAGACAGAGAAACAGCCAGGGACAGAGCCAGCCACACTGAGTTTAACCTCTCAGTAAAATAAAAACGGGCTGGACGTACCTCATCAGCTGCCCTCTGTCAATACTTGGGACCATCTGGCAAAACGCAAGGTTCTCAGCTAATTGGCATTTCCCATGGAGCCAGGGAAGAAGAGCTTTTGAAAATATATGTGGTGGTGGTGAAGTGTGTGTGTGTGTGTATGTGTGTGTGCGTGCACACGCGTGCACAGGCCAAGAATGGCCAGCCAGACACACTTTCCCAAGGTGCTAGAGCCCTGTAGACCATCTATTATATAAAAGTACATACAGTCCCCGCCCCCACTCGCTTAAAGATGAAGAATCCAGCCTGTTTGTTCCAGGCAGATGTAATCACACAGTCAAGTCTAGAGGGCAGGACACTGCATGAATAATTCAAGCACTCCAGTCACTTGATTGTGTGTGCAGATAAAACACCAGTCAACCGCTAAACAGGTCAGCTGATAAACTTGTTTGCTCAGGCCTAACCACCATCACCAAATGCACCTAAGACCCACACTACAATTAGTGGCGGGGTTTCTTCTACAGAACCCTGCAAGCCTAGGGAGTGGCCAGCACGCCATTAGGTCAGGGTTGTATTGCATTTCTCCCTTCTCAGTCAGGGTTTCTCCACCTCTTAGCCTCTTTGTTCCTACAGAGCCACAGGGTGAGTTCATCCAACCCAGCGACTTGTTGGCATTCATGCCGGGAAGGGGCTGGAAGGCAAAGGTAAGGCACCAGGAGCAAAGGACCTAGTTGCAGAACCCAGAGGGTCTAAAATGAGCCCTAGCTCTTGCCATGCTGGCTTCCTTGATGCCTTGGTTTTCCTACCTATAAAAAGAGGGCAAAAATCCCTCTATCCGCCATTGAGAGGATTAATGAAGACAATGTGGCCAGATCTCAGGCATTCTCCCGTCTTAGAATCCTGTTTAGGGAATGGCCAGACATCCCAGACGAACACAGCTGCTCTGTACACAAGCCTCACCATTGAGATACTTAACCCTTCTGGGTTTCTAGCCTCCCCAGGGCTCAGAACACTTTTGCTCTGCCAGCCAAGGTGACTTCTTTGTACCCAACAACCATCCACTCAGACACGGGCAACACCACCCATGCAGACCTCAACATGCAAGGACATATTACACCTTAATTAGAAGCTCTTACAACAACAACTACTGCTATAAATTTTGAACCTGGGTGCAATTACCCTCTTTAAAACACGCCCAAGATACTATTCACAGAGGAAGGGAAGGACTGGAAAAAGGGAGGAAGTGGTACCTTGCAAAATACCCCGAAGTCCTTAAAACACCTGAGACCCCAGTTTTATTTCATGCAGTCTTCCAGTCAAGCCTGGGCCAGCTCTACCTAGACTGAGGCGAAACTCACTTCTGGTCTCTCCTCCCCAGGAGAACCTTCTTTACGTATAAAGCAATGTCTGTTTATTATTTCTGTGGGCCAAGAAGTGAGGATGCGGTAGCCTCCATGTGTGCATGCCTAGGGAACCAACTCCTCAGGAAACCACAGCTGGCTTCCCACATTGCTCACTAAATGCTGGCCCCTTTCTGGCTCCCCTTTGCCTAACAGCAAGGGAAAGGAAACCAGATTCAAAGGGCTCTATAGGAAGCCACTGGAGCGGGCAGGAATCTGCACGCTTCCCCTCAGGGTCACCTGCCCTTCTCACCTGCCGTGGGTCCTGCCCCCTTTAAAGAGTAAAATTTAAACCTTGTAAATGACTGTTAATTTAGAGCAGAAAATCCATTCAAGTCACGGTCACCAAAGCCTGGAATGAGTCAACAGCCTTCTGAGATTTCAAGAACACCAATTGTTAAAAAGAACAACCGGCCTGCGCCATTTATACGTGCCAAGTCGATGCTAATCGTCCGCCAAGCCAAATTATAGGCAGCCTCTCCTCAGAACACAAATAGACAAACAGGCCTCTCCCACAGCCTGGCCTAGCTCAGGCCCGGCTACTGATATGCACTCAGATAAAGGGTGTTTCTATTTGCTGGATTTGAGGTATAGTGTTATTAGAAGGGAGACAATGTGAGGTAGTTTACATATCCATCAAAGGATACCACACTAGTTAAACTGGTTTGACTTCAGGATTACAAAGCTGAGCTCAACTGCCAGCCACCTCAAAAGGCCTGGTGAGGCTGGCCCCGGGCAAGCTACTTCACCCCAGGGCTTCAGCTTCCCCCTGTAAAATGGGGACACAGCCGCCTTCGAACGAGGAGAGTTGAGAAACTCCCTCCTGAACGCAAAGCCCGAGGATTGCACTCCACTCTGGCTTTAAGTTTTTTTTTTAGGCCGTTAGTGGCTTCATTCCCTTACATTTCGAAAGCTCAGCCTGGCTTTTAAGCCTCTTGAAGCGTAATCTTATCAAGGCAGTACATCACTGTTGTGTTTTTCTTTTTCTTTTTCTTTTTTTTTTTTGCAAGAAAAAGAAAGAAAAGCAAGGGGGGTGGAGAACCCCGCCTGCCTTCCCTTTTTGAGAATTTTACATTACATTAAAACAGATAAAAAGCAGTCAGTCAACTTCAGGAGTGGGTAGCACAGATCCTGGGGTACCTACAGTACAACTTTTTACCCAGTTCCCAGACCAGCAACTTTGTACCCAGATCCCAGACCAGGCCTAAGTTCACAAGAACAAATGCTAACAACTCAACATAACCAAGGAAGAGCAAAGCCCCAGCAGCAGGCATCCCTGAACACTCACTCTTGGGGGCCAAGTGGGAGACCAGAACCAGGCTCATTTTCAAATGACGACCTTTTCCCAAAATCCACATATTCTGTTTTTTACATATACATATACATTTTTAAAAAGAGAAAAGCACGTACCTGCTTGTGCATTTCAATATTCAGGCCATAGGACATCTCATAGTACTACAAATTTAAAAAAATAATAATAATTGCCATTAGCAGGCAACACAGGGATACTACTCATTTTTACCTTCCCCTTCCCCAGGCCTCGGCCAAGCCATTCATTGGGTCCACAGAAACTGAAGTCCACCCACAAAGACAGCCTAAGGAGGTTTAGAAGTGGTCAAGTGCTCCTCTCCATCCAATAGAACATTACACACAATAGTAAGAAGATCCGGGCCTCCCCTCCCACAAGCACCCATGTGCCTGCCATACAGGCTGTTTATACAAGGTGCCGGCTCCACAGGGAATGCAGTGCACCCGCCTCCTCTTGTCCTCTCAGAGTTATTTAGTACTAGGTGGAAGGTCTCTAATGTGGAAAGACTGCTACTGGCCTGTCCTCAAGTGGTTCCCATGCCCACTCCCAAAAGGAAGATGTTAACTTGAAGGAAGACACTAAGTAAAACATAGTCTAGCTAGGGAGGTCCAGACTCCAACTGAGGAAATCCTCGAGGAGGGAGGGGGGGGAGGAGAGGCTTTAAAAGGCTCCTCCAATCTGAAAAAACTCTGGGGAAGGCAGGCTCTTCTGTCCCATTCTAGCTAGATCCCAGCTGCCAAACAGAAAAGTTTCCGAACACTCCCAGGAGGACTTCAGGAGGGTTTTTATACAACTCCGACACTGGCTCATTCAACTCTAAGTTACTAACCAGTTTAAGGCAAGCAGTCGCCCCCCCCCCACACCCCGGGAAACCTCCAAAACACAAATGAGAAGCTTTACAAAAGTGGCCGCGGTTTGTTTCTCTTTCGGCCCCTACTCTTCACTAGCCCTCCTCCAAGTGGCGGGGAAGAGGAAGCTGAAGAAGCAAGCCCTCCAGGGGGCTGTCTTGAAGTTGGGCCTGCCTCGGGTCTGCCACAGTCCCAGCTGAACACACAGCTTGGGTGCCCTGCCCTGGCCTCCCTCCGCCCTGCTGCGGGCTGCCTCTCACCATCACATAATGGCGCTGCATCTCCGTCTTCTCGTTCGCCAGCTTGTCGTATTCCACTTTGAGGCTGTAAGGGCAGGAGGAGGCGCTCAGGCCTGGCGCCTACATGGCCTCCTCAGAGACCCGGATCCCAGGGTCTCGGAGAGCCATTTTTTTCCACTTCCCCAGCACCCTGCGCACCCCCATTATCCATCATCCTCTGGGCAGTGGGGGTGGCTGCTTGCCACCCAGGGCCTGGCTGTACCAACTCCAAACTTCCCTTGATCTGCGAGGGCACTCATCGCGGCCACGCGGGGGCGGACCCTTACGCGGGATCAAGACCCCAACCCCCCCCTCCCCGCCCCAACCCGGGCGGGCTTTCAGGAGCTGGGCGACCGCGGAAAGCAAAGGGTTAAGGTGGCGCGCACCGAGAGGGGAAACAAAAGGCGGAGGCCCCGTAGCCCCACAGTCCGGGGGCCGGCGTCCCCTCCGTCCTCGCGGGGGGTAACAGGAGCGCGCGCGGCCGCCCTCCTCGCCAGCCGGGGGCCACCACCACCACCCCCCGCCCACCTTACCTGTGATACTGAGCTTGCAGGAACTGGAATTCGTCTTTGATCCTGTCACAGGACTCGGCCACAGTGAATTTAAATCCCGGCTGCCCGGGTTGATGGGGAGCCTGGAGCCCATGAGGACAACACAGGGGAGAGGAGTGGGCACATCAGACGGGCTCCACGAGGCCCCTTGCCTCCGCTGGGTCCCTGGTTCCTTCCCGCAGGGCGCCACCGGCAAGGCCACCACCCCATAGCCCAAAACCTTCCCAGCAAGTTTTTCTCCGCTCTCCCGACGGGGCCGGGAAGGGGGCGCCCCGATCATCCCCAAAGCCAGCAGGGTTCCCATGGCCAAGTGCCGCGAGGGCGACTTGGAAGACTTGGGAGAAGGGTACGAAGAGGGAGTCAAAGTCCTTCATCCAAGGCAAGCCGCCCCCCCACCACTCGAGTGCAATTACCCTTGGCCCTCTATTGCGCCCCCCCAACACCACAGCCCCTTTGTGTGAGCGCACACACGCGCGCGCACCATAAAGGTAGCAACAAGCAAAATGGAGGTGCGAGATAAACTGCCTCGTTTACCCTGCCATGATAGATGCTTAAATAAGCCTAGTTGCAATTACTCACCGGATGTCTGCCTTGCGGATACATGGCAGGGAGGGGTCGCGATTCCGAGAGCTTGGAAGCGCTGAGAGCCCGAGCCGGGGATGTGCGGGGGAGGGGGGAGGCGAGCCCGAGCGGGGGGCGGCCGGGGAACCGAGAGCTCGCCCCCGGCCCCCCCAGCCCGCTCTCGCAGCGAAATCCCAGAGTCGGGCGTGCGCCCCAAGTGCAGACAAAGAGCGGCGGAGCGAGCGGCAAAGTCGTCGGCGGGCTCGCGCTTTGTGCGCCTAGGGCTCGGCCGGCTTCTGCCGGCCACCTTCCCCCGGCTGCGTGGACAGTGTCAGAAGCCGGGGCTGTGCGGACATCGTTGGCTTCCTGGTGGCTCCAGTGCGGGATCCCAAGGCCGAGGGTGGGGGGATCCTCCTGTCCCCTCGCGGGTCACTCAGCACGATGAGGTTGGAGGGGGGCGCGTCTGGGCAGCCCAGAGCATTCGGGGCGCGTGGGTCGGGTCTCAGAGGTGACCGGGCCCGGAACTCGCAATGAGACGAGAAAGAAGGCAGGCTACAGAGGTGACGGCTTGAGGACCGAGGGTGAGGGCTGGAGCCCAGTGAGGGTGCTTCGACGCCCCCCCTCGGAGAGGAGAGCCTGCTGTTCCTTCTGCTCCCGTCGCTGCCGCCAGCCCTTCCTTCCCAGGGCCGAGGAGGAACTCCGGGCTCAGTCGGTGTAAATCATGCGCCCCGGCATCCTAACTCCAGCGGGCATGAGAAGCCTGGGCGAAGGGGTCCTCTCTGCTCCCAAGTAGAGCGTCAGCGTCTCTGGCGAGGAGCGGTCGGCGTCCCTGCCGCCTCGGAGCGCGCAGGCTGGAGATCACGGAGGGGGAGACGTAGCCCGAGCCCGGGAGCTCTGCGGCTTCTTTGCTTCCTCCCAGCCTCTCCGCGCCCCGACAAACCCCCAAAACACACGCACTCAACACACACACATACACGCGCACACACACACACACACAAAAGTGCCTCGGACCTGCGGATACCACACACAGACAGGCGAAGGGGGCCGAGCACGAGGTCTGAACTGCCGCGAGAGCAGTTCCAAATAGGGACTGAAAAGTAACAAAATAATGTGGCGGCTTCGCCTAGCGTTGGCCAATGGGAGCGCGAGGCTCCCACGTGGGGCCGCGGTATTCGGACTGCGACTGGGCGCCGCTGGGCTAGACGTCACAATGCCCTCTTGTGTCTAAAACTATGCATGAAAAGTAGCAATCAGGCCCTACCCGCTGGTGACTTTCGCTTGGGAGTGAAAAACAGCGCTCCTCACATCAGGAATTAACCGAAAGACATATAATAAATAGATATATATTATAGTGCTGGGCTGCTAGGTTTTTTTCTTTTTTCCCACGATCTACTAGCAAATAATTATTTGGCGGGAGGGGAGGAAGAGAAAACGAATAACAACAAAAGAGAAAAAAAAGGACAAGCTGTACAATCCTCAAAACCTGTGGCTGGTAGTAATGGATCAGTTGATTCTGTAAAGGCGGCGAACGATTGCCCCCCTCTAATCTCATTAGGGCTGCAAAGCAGCCCAATTAGATACTATAAAACAAACAGAATCACTTTGTCAGTTTAATGTTTTCACTTCAGAAGATTTAGGACCGATAAAATGCTGGCTCCCAAAGTTACCTCCGACCTCTAAGACTGTTCCCCAAACTGAGTTTTTCTTTTATCCGTTTCTGTCCCCTCTCCCACCCTTGGGCGCCCCGCTTTCCTCCTTTGTTCATTCGCCCTTCTTTTCAGAAAGCCAAATAAACAGCGCCTCTGATGCGCAGCGGCTGCCGCCGAGGGGGAAGTCTGAGAACTCTGGCTTGGCGGGCAGTGCAGATGGAAGGGCCCGGCTGTCTGCGGACAACAGGCTTAGTAGTGTGGCTGGCCCCGTTTGGGGTTCTTGCCCTTTGGGGACAGCTACTTCCTGACCGCAGCCTTGTCGAGGTGGGCTCCTCAGCTGCGCTCCGGGCCCGAAGTGGCGAAGGGCATGCACAGAGCTGGGGCTCTCCTAGCTACGACCCAGAGCTCCAACCTGGTTTCTTGGCCTGCTGGCCGGCCCGTACCACATGCATCAGCAGCCACGCGTGGAAGAGCGACTGTGAACCTGGAGCGTCCACGGTCACCAGCCTTAATGCCCAAGGGGGCGCAGACATTCGACTCTGGGGCCCATTTGCTCGCAGACAGGGGTCACGTCGGGGCATACTGCCCACCCTGGGTCCCCGGGCTTCGGAGAGCCACAGCTAAGTGGACTGCCCAGGCGTCCCCGGGTCCCTCTCTGCTTTCCCACCCAGCACACACGCAAGCACGCACTTCGGGCCCGCTGCGGGTGCGCGCGAGCCGGCCGCGCGCACCCGGAATCTATATTTTCCCCTCATTAGGAGCCCGAGGTTCGCGTTTGCATCTTAATGAGGTGCAGGGAGCGCGCGGGGACCTCCACGTGAGCGACAGCCCCGAGATGGAGCCTCCCAAAACCCGCTCCGGCCGCCGGCCGCGACCGCGCTCTCTTCTTCATTTATTTATTCTCCTAAATAAAAACATAAATCGTGTACGGCGCGCACCGAAAAGGGGAGGGGGCAAGGAGAAGCCCAGCTCGACAGATGCGAGCATCTGCCCGCAGCATCCATTAGTCTCAAAATGGCTCCTCTTTTGAGCTTCCCTCTCCCCTCCCCCTTCTTTGCCCTCCCCCTTACGTCACGGGTGGGCGCACCCGCTTTCTACCCGGCCCACCCCTTTCTCGCTCCAGCCCCCACGTGGGAAGCGCCAGCCACGCCCCAGAGCAAGCCTAGAGACCAATCATAAACAAGTAAAGAGCCTCTCAACTACGGATTGGTGAAGATGCTGGGAGCTGTCAGTCCTTGGCCATAGCTGTCAGTCAAAACCACGCGGGGTGGGGGAGCGCTGACAAATGCCGAGGCTTCTGAGCCTCCCGCTTGCAAATAGTGCTTGGAATGGCTGCTTAATTAGCTTTGAATGGCTTTTCCTTCCAGCTCAAACAATCTGTCACTACCATGTGGTATAAAGGAGCCATGCATAAAAAAGTAAGCAGAGGCTAAATATCAATTTGATTTTGTGTATCAAAGGAATATTTTATTTTTCTCCCTAGTAATGAAACGTATCAATTTAAATAATAAAAGGTAAAAACACACACAAACCCTGTAAAAAAAAAAAGAACAAAAAAAGAGGAAAAAAAGAGAAAGAAAAAAAGAGAAAATAAAAAACCAAACTCCACGATGTTCCGACTAGTGCGCACGTCTGAAATAGGTAATTTCTATGGACCGCGTTGAGGAGGAAGTCTGAGACTCTCCCTCTCCGCCGTCCCCCTTTAAACTTGCATTTAGTGTTTTTGTTGTCGTGGTCCTAGGAGTGGTGGGGGAAGGGTGTCAAGGGGGAGGAGATATGGCGTTGGGGGAGAAAGGAGAACTTTAAAGGGATCTCTTTGAAGCTGCTAATCAAAGTGCAGGGATTTTAAGACCCCTTAAACTGGGGGTCCTACAGCAGGTCTTGATTTGGGAGCCGAAAAGGGGGGGGGGGAGATAGCGGGTGTGCTTGTCGCCCAGATTTATTAAACACAATGCCTTCAAGATGCCCGGGCCAAGGCGCCTAGTTCAGCCTCCCTCTCTTCGGTCTCCCTCCGTACTGGCTCCGACGGCGTCCTTCCGCTGGCCGCCACCGAGGTCCTGGGCTTCCAGGTCGAGTCTACGCGGACTGTGTACAGAAAAGCCCTGCAGCTCTGTCTCCGGTCTGCGTGTCTCCTGCCAGGGCAGAGGTGCTCCTGAGCACCCCACGAATCAGCGTGAGCTGGTGCAAGGCAGCCTTCACAATGAGTTCTCCCGTGAACCCAGGCGCCAGCACCAGGCCTGGCGCACCGAGGATAAGTGTGATGGATGCGGTTTCGCAGAGCGCCGCCCCCACAGCAGAGCCGAACTGCAACGGTGAGCTCCACAGTGAGGAAGGACAGCCCTTGAGTGTTTAATAGGTACAGAGCAGGCCATGGTTACCCACTACGTCCTCATTTCACTCCCAAGGCCTGGCTTATAAGATAAAAAAGAAACACTGAAAACAAACTCCCAAAGCTTAGTAATGGGCTCTGAGCTGGGCAGAGAGATCAGAATTGGAATCCAGGACAGCCCTAGATCCACGGCCAAACTCAGAAACAGCTTTGTGCACGACGAATCCATACGAGCACTTACTGAATAACATTCACTCATTCATTCATTCTGGCCCTCTCTGGAGGTCTGGAGGTGGGGGTCTCTGGCTCCCGGTTTGCCCCTTCACCTCGGCTCCCAATCCTGTCTTTGGTACCAGAACCTGGAGCTGGGGTGCTGATAACCAGCTTCAGGACCCTGAAGTTCAAAGCTCACTACTGCTCAGAAGTCCCACCCCTATGCCACCCCACAAATTTTGTAAGGAAAGAAAATATGCTTGTTTTATGCTAGAGAAAGATGCACAGACACCCTGTCCGAAGTGCTTGACAATTATTTTTTTTTAAAAAAAAAAAAAGGAGGGAACTGAAGAAAAAGACTTCAAACAGCTCTGTCTCCAGTTCTAATTGGAAACGTTTCAACTGTTTATGTTACAAGAAGTGTCAGGGTCATTTGCTACCGGAGAGCTGACTTTTCATTGGCTGCTTAATTGAGTACCTCGGAGTCCACCCCACGTGGGAGAGGAATTCCTGGCACATTTATAAAAAAAAAAAAAGTCACACGGTGAGATGGAAAGCCCGGGATGGATCTGAAGCAGCAGAGCACCCCCCCACCCCAGCTCCTGATTTGGGTTGTAGAGTGATTGTGGGAATTTGGGGTGGGGACAGAGATGATTCTCTGGTTCCTTAAAAATAAATCCGAAACACCTTAGATGAGTGTTGTATGTTTTTCTCCAGAATTAAGGGAACTGTCTCTGGCCAGCCACCAGACTGTGGCCTGCCCTTTGAGGAACTGGTCTCAAGGTCTGGGGTGGGGTTGAAAACCTCCCCTCCTGTCATCCCCAAACCCTGACAGCTACTGGCATTGATTTTTTGGTAGCCTCTTGTTTGAGCTGGCCAAAGAGGACAGTGTTCTCCCTCATCACCCCCCACCTCCCTTTGGTTAATTCTGCGGTTCTCTTATTGTTTATGTTCAGTGCTAGAGCAAGTCTGCTCCTCCCCCCCTTTCCTGACTCACCCCCATCCATCAGTAATCCCAGATCTTCCTCCACAAGGCAGCACCTCACCATGAAGCTAGAAGAAGGGGAATTTGTGTTTGTTTAACAAACTTAACCCAGTGCTTGCTCTGCACCAGATTCCATTCTAAGCGCTGGCTGGGCAAATATTAACAAATTTAATCCTCGGCCTGAAGAATGAGGGCAAAGCCACTGACGGCACTCCCGCAGAGCAGATGGGTAATTGATACTACTCTCTGGTACAATGACTTACTCAAGGTCACTGTGGTGGTTGACGGACTTGAATCCAAGCAACTCAGCTCCAGAGTCCACAACTTAACTACACTTGCCCTGCGGAGTCAGGCCAGCAAGATGAACCCAGCTCACTTCAGGAAAGAGGGCTGAGGCTCCAATTGGTGAAGGGACTTCCCACGGCCTCTTCAGCTCCCTTCCAACTCTCTAGCTGGGTCAAGTTCTGTGACTTTGAGGTACTTGTGGACTCTCTCTAAGCCTCCATTTCCTCATCTGTGGAGTAAAGATAACAGTCCTGTCCACCTTGGAGTATTGCTTCCGAGATCGATGGGGATCATTCAAGTGGTACTTGGTATAGGCCTGGCAGGCACATTAAGCCATCAATAACAGTTAGCTGTGGAGGCCCTGATGAGGACGTACCAACAGCTGGGGATTCAGCTTCTGGAACATTCTGTATGTGTGTGGTCCGGCCAGAGGACAGAAAAGTCAAGCATGGTTCTGACCAGAGCCAACCAGGAGCACCAGACTCCCTCGGAGCCCTGGGAAAGCCCAAGAGCTAGCAGACCTATCTCTCCACTCTGGAATTTCCATTCTTTTCCATAGTCCTTGATAACCTTGGCTATCCCTACAGCCCCTGAGCCCATCCGGGAAAGGCTGGGTGAGGGCAGGAAGAAAGGAATGGGAGGAAGGATAATTCAAAACTAACCTTTGATGGGATAGTAGAGGTAGAGAGAAACCTGAGTACCACCACAGTGGAGAGTGGTGTCGAGGGCTTCTCTGAGGACTTATTGGCGAGGTAGGATTTGAACTCAGCACAGGACTGTAGACAAAAGCTCTGGTGGGCAGAGGAGATCAGCAGGAGCTTTTTCTCTCCCACAGCCATCCAAAGTAGTCTCCCCTTCTTATAGCTTTCTTTTACCGCCTAGCAGGCTGTCACCAGGACCTGAGGAAGGACGCTAAGCGCTGGCTTTTCTAAAAAGGCCTTGACCTTATTCCACACCCATCTTAAGTGCCTTCTCGTCAATGAAGGAAGTCCCCAGAGGCTGCTAAGGTCAGGATTGAGGAATCCACTCCCTCAGTCTCCACTTCTACAGCTGTAGAATGGGAAGAATAGTGTCTGGGTGCTGACTCATCACAAGCGTACTGAAAGACTACAGTACGCAAGGGCTAGAACGTGAGAGAAGCCCTTGCCTTCGGGTAGACACAAGACTCTCCCAGTCTAGGCTGTGCACAAACCTCGGTGTTAGAGCTGCACAGGGAATAATGCCGGGTATTGAGTTGGAGTTGGACTGTACGAGAGTGCTGTGGCCTTGGTCGAGGGAGAGCAAGGCAGCTCAGCTAGGACTCTCTAGGAGAGTCCTGGGCTATTGGATCTGCTTGGTGGCCCCACTCCCTCTATCTAGAAAACTAAGGCAACCAGACTTCCAGGTGATGATTTACAAATAGGCTATCATGTCCACCTGGGACTTTGGGGGGGGCAGGTGTGCGGAGGAGGCATGGAATGTGTTTGTTCACCTGTCTCTAGCAGAAGCCTGAGACTGGAAACATTCTCCCCGACACCTCCTCCCAAGCTAGGCTGAATGGCATCCTGCTGCTCCTAAGGTGCACTTTGCTGACCTCTATTGACTAATGGCGCCGGGTTTCCATGCTTCATGCTGGAACCGGGTAAATATTTATCGAAGTGATTGGGCGTCCTAATTAAGAGATTTGTGCCGTTTCTCTTTCCTTTTTAAAGATTCAAAGCTGAGGCTTAGGAGATTAAGAAATAGTTTGCTGGTATTAACGCATCCATCTTAGCAAGGGCGGAGAAGAATTACCCAGGCCAGTGCTGGGGGGGGGGGGCGGGGGGAGACAGGTGCTTTAGGGAAGCATCAAGCTGGGATGAAGGCTGGGGCAGAACTCTGGCCCTGTGCACAGGCTCTTTCACTGTGGGACTGAGCTGGAGCTGGAGGGGAGGGGAGAAATTATTTACCTGATAGTCTTTTTTGTTTTACCCTTCTATTTCTACTCTCCTCTTTCTGTTCTTTTATTCGTTGGATTTACAGAAGTACATTTGTCATGCACACACAGCGATGGATGGTTTGATTGCTTATCAGCTGTACTTACCTGTTGGTTCTCAACTGAGGGTAATTTTGCCCTCTAGGGGACATTAGGCAA